CTTGCAAAAGTTACCCCTTTTTTTTAGACATTTCAAAGTTTTTCTCTCTGTGTACCAACTCCTGTTCCCTGTCTCCAGCTTCTGTCGCTCTTCGATGCTTTGGCATGCTGCACATTGTTTGCCGCACTGCAATTGTTCCGCTCAGTTGATCCGGGGACCCCTTTAATCTTTCGCCCCTCCCAGCTATTTTGAATTTTTATTTTAGCAAAGTTTTTTCATTTCCCTCAAAGTAAAGAGAAATTCCTTCGTGTTCGATTAAGGTTTTCCCCACTTTGGCTTAATGAATTGGAAGCGATTCTCAGAGTTGGCAACATATGGGCCAAGTAATTTGTAGAGCAAAAGCTAAGTGAATATATTTTCATATGCGAACCATTCCGGTAATTTACAAGCTCAATTATGCGGTAGCTGAAGTCACATATACTTAGTTTTCTGTTTATGGAACCCAAAGGTTCTATATATATAAAGTCACCCTTGGCAGCCCTCCTGTCAATTTAGCTGGGTCATAAATTTCAATATTGTACTCGTTTTTTTTCGGGCGATACGAAGTCGGGGAACTCCAGGGCGATATCTATGCGGGTTATCTTCGGTGTGACGTGCGGTTATCGGAAGAATGGAATACTATCCCAACTATGCCATAATTTGCTTTAGAATGGTGTGAATTATTTGTTCGTTTCTGTCTGTTTCTCCCATTCTCCCTTTCACATTCTCGTGTGTATTTTTTATGGCCAGAATTGTTATATCTTAATTTTCTTTAATGGTTTATTATGATCCGGCTGCAGTTGGCTTTCTGTTTGCCCTGCGTGCCAAACCCGCTGCCACCTTTCCCTCCTCAATATTGATAATTTCGTCTGATTGACAATTGTTTTCATCATTTTCACATCGGTTTTTTCGTTCATTTGCGATAATGATAATACATAATATGTCTGTCCTCTGTCTGTCATAAATCGTGCTTATTTATGGGAAATGAGATTTGTAGTGGCGCATTAATTGTCCGTCCGTCTGTGTTTTTCTTTATCTCTGGCGTTGGCACGATCGGAATTCGTAGTCCAGAGGATTGAACTCATTTCCGAGCGATGACATTGATATTTGCTTTAATCTGCAATACTAACGTGCTATGTACTTACTGCCAGATAGAGCCGCTAATGAGAGATTAACAATGTTAATTAATATGTTTACTTGATTAAAATAATATGTGGGGATTCTTAAAAAAGAAATCCTCTTTAGATTTAATTAGACAACCTGGCCAATGAAAGATAACGATTGGGTTTTGGTTTTCAACCAGGTGATTTCTGGTTTTCTTCTTGTGGAATAAAATAAAATATTTAAAAAAATAATTTAGGAAACCACTCTTAAATCGTCCTTTTCTTTCTTGTAATTTCTTGTAAGTTCCAAACCAACCTTGATGTATTTTTAATTGAACATTGCTATGCCACTTCTCGATCAATTCATCTTACAACTTAGTGAGATTAATGACCTCTCAATTGATCACCAAGATTTATGAGCTTTAAATTGATCCAAGTCATTTGTAACTTGGTGTCTTAACTGTTTAAGTCCTTGGTATCAAATTGATTTGTCAGCTTGTGGACTGCGAAACTTAACTCAGCTCAACCCAAAACCCGAAAACCAACTGGGATGTCGATGCTCTGTGAGTGCTGGGAGCGATTCGATTCCAGGGAAGTGAGCTGTTATGGGATGTCTTTAATGCCCATTGACAGAGCGCCGGGTGCAGTCCGGTCCACAAAAACAACATGGACTTTTACAACAACATCAGCGACAACGCCACTGGTTGTCTAGTTAAAGCTAAAGTTAAAGCGAAATTCCCCCTGAGAAACAAACAAAAGCGCAGACGATCGATCGACAAAGTACAAACAAAAGGCATGCCACAAGGAAAAGAATTGGGGGGAGGGGGCTTAGCCAAAGGGAAAATATAGGGAGATCGGGGAATGGGGGTTGGGGGGAGAGTACCCGGTACCACCCAGGAAAATCACGATGACGAACTGATGCCTGGCCAGATACAGATACATGGCCCGCAAAAGGAAACAACGACAGAGGCAACACCTCTTGTTAGTTTTACTGATCATGATCGTGACAGGGGTAAAGAGATGTGCCGAATACACCGATCAAAATATGGGGTATGTAACTGCAGATAACTCTGCGGATTACGATTTTAAGTTTAAATTGCTTTTTGTAAGCAAACTTCTTTTCGTTCAAATTCATTTAAGCTTGGTGATTTATTTTGGATTACAATTTCAACTGAAACAAAATATTTAAGATGAGAATATAATTTACTCTAAGGTTTAAAAAATAATAAATGAAACTGAATTTATTGTGCCAGTATTGTTGTTATCTCTTAATAACAGGTGGCTTTATAAAATCTGTTATAATTAGAATATGAGCCAATCGACCAAATCAGATATAATTTTGATCAGTGTAACCATTTGGGCCCTGCCCATTGGACAAACTGATTGAGGCACGAACAGGCAAAACTCCTTCGTGGGTCAATCATCGGGTTCCTCCGACTTGAGGCTGCAGTTGGAGTTAGGGTCTGGAGTCGAGTTCATGTTTCACAGTTTGCAAATAACTCTAATCGGGCTTTTCAGCATCGGTGTGTGGGTGCCTCCCGTTTTTCCCCTTTTGCCATTTATAACTTTCCCTCCCCCTCCTGGGGATCCTGCATTTTCCTCTTCTTTTCGAATCTGAACAAGCCATGCATTGTAAGTTCATTAGCGACCCAAGTGCACGATTCTCTTGTTGTTGTTGTACCGTATGCCCGATGTTGGATGGTGGATCGGACTTCGGTGCTCCCTCCTCCATTTCTCCCGAAATGCATATAAACATGAGATTTTTCTGCACCTCCTGGACAGACTTTTATTTTTTGATACTCTTGCAGGGAGTGTTGTGATTTTGCCAAGGAAATTTGTGTTGTATCTTGTAAGATTTATTTTAATAAAATTCAGTTTTATAATCTAGTTTTATAAATATTAATAAAGTGTATTTGTAATTATGTTCAATCTGCTTTAAAAGAACTCCCTCCAACAATCACTACTTTTAAATAAAAACATGGTCTTTTTAACTAACTATAGTAACTAGGGTATTTGTTTTAATAAAAATATTAAACTTAGTAGATTGTATAATAAACATATTTATAGGACATCATGTCTAGCTTGATAAAAGTCAGACCCCATCCTAGGGTATTTAGGTTTCGGTCACAGGAGCTTATCATAACTGCTTGTTGATTTTCTTTTTGCTTTGGCATACCTGGGAGCTCCGCCTAACTAACTAGGCAAAATCACTCATACTTGCAACAACAGTGCACCACATGTGGTCGGAAGAGCAAAGAACCGGCTCGCCAGGAGCAAAATCGGTCTGGGAGAGGGGGGTGGCAAAGAGAGAGGATGGAGAAATCTTCCAGCTCCAGCGGCACCCTGCAGCTAAAAGAACGGGGTGTATTGAACCGCAGCAAAGGCAACAACACAACAATAAGAGCAAAGTCAAAGCCAAAAGTCAAAACGTGAGCCTGGAATTGCAGGCGATCTTGCGTCCCCCTCGACCCATCTCTTTTCTCTCTCGACCCCCCTTCTCTTTTCCTCTTCCTTCCCTCACTGTTTCCCAATACCTTTAAACCTGCCCAGTAAACCTGGAAGTTTTTTTTTGTGTTCTACCTTTTTATCGCTCTTTTAGCAAGCCAACCGATGACGCTAACAAGGCAAGAACAACAACAACAGTGGGGCAGAAGAATGATCGAAAGGGGTTTTCGGAAGAATCGGGAAAGGGTGGAAGAGAGAGGGGGAAGGGGAGAGAGAGCGCCAGAGAGAGAGGGAGCTCGTGGGCTGGCGGCGTTATCTGGTAACAACGTGTTACGAATTACTTTTAACAAGACCCTTAGCAGATAAAAACCAGAAAACCGGTCGAGAGAGGGGTTAAACCGGGAGAGTAAGATAGAGCGGTAGGCCGGAAGAGAGTCTTCAGAAGAGATTGGATTGGAACGTGCGCTCATTAGCGAGGTGAGCATATAAACAGGAAGGAATTGAAATTATCCCGTAAAAAAGGAAGGAGGGGGAAATAGAGCACTCCGGATACCCTAACACCACCACCGAAGAAAGTCAAAGAACTTGCTGAAATTTCAGCAGGGTGCACTGGAAAAATCAGGGAGAGAAAGAAGGAGAAAGAGAGAGTGAATGGAAAACCTGAAAATATGCCAGACAACAACAGATGCGTCTGAAAAAAATGGGTAGAAGGGGGTCGGGAGGCGTGGGGTGGTGGTGGGTTGGCATGCGAAACGCAGCACATGTGCACCGAAAAGAGGAAGAGCAATCAGGAAAAGGGAGAGAAGAGAGCTGAATGAAGGAAAAAGGAGAAAGACAAGGACGAGGAACGAAAAGGAGAGAGGAAACGTAGCTGTCAATCTAGTCAGAGATTTGTCACCCGGAGAGAGTTGACAACTTTTATACGGGGGTTGGGAAATCGCAAGTGGGTTAATAATGGGAAAACAATAGGTGGAATAAACAAAATGTATAGCAATAATAAAAATCATATTAAAAAAATATTTAAAACCAATTTAGAAGATAAATTTAAAATACAATTTACTATTTGTATTCGGCATTCTAAGTTAAAAAGTTAAAAATACTCCAAAAAGAAAACCTAATTAAAAAGCTCCCTCCTGATAATCCTATAAAACACGCAACAGGAAATCGCTGTCATAAAAACCGATTTACTTAGGCATTGTAACCGTAAAACTCACCTTAGAGATGCCAAGAAAAATCAAATGCTGGCATTAAAAGTTGAGTTCCTTCCTATATTTATTTAGCTTATGCAAAAAGTAACGAAATGCAGGGCAAGGCAAACAAAAAGAAAGCAAACCGTAAACAAAACATTTATTTAGCTGCATTTATCGCATGCTATAGGAAAGCGTTCTCTCTCCCTTTCAATCTCTCTTCCATTTCCAATCGTCCTCTCTCACTGCCCTCCCCCACAATTCTCAGCGACGTGCGGGCTCTCAACATTTTGCCTCAGTTCTCTTTCGACGATCGGAGCGTTCGGTTCAGCGGACGGATGGTTATCGCTCGAAAATAAATCCAAAATAAAGTCTCGCGAACTCTAATTGCACCTTTCAAACGGCAATTAATCAATGAAGAAAATACACAACAAATGTATATATAAATATCTTTCTTTTGTGCGCAAGTCGAAAGCAATAACAATAGCCGAAGGCAGTCGTGAATAAAAAGAAGTTTCATAAAAATAGCCACCAAGTGGCGTCCTCGAAAAAAGCGACAGAAAATACAGAAAACGAGTTATGAAAATACAAATTGTGGCCGTGCCATGTGAGAATGTGTGTTGAAAATTGTTATAAAGAAACAAGATTTGTCGCTTGTGGTCGTTGTTATTGTTGCTATTCCGATCTGTGATCGGTGATCGACAAGCGTCAACTTAAATTGGATTTTCGGCGCTCAAAGTAACAAAAACAGAAACACAATAACAAAATTTCTATGAAAAACATCCATCCTACACCTTAAAACCTGAGATAGCGACAACATTTGGCGCTACATGAAATTTTAATTAAAAAATCTGTCCAAAAATAAAGTAAAAATTACTTGCAGCGACGAAAAAAAGTTTCTATGAGAATCGGCGCAAGTATCTGTGTATCCGCCAGATACTCTCTATCCGTGTGCGCCAGCATCTCCAGGTGTCCGTGCGCCTGTGTGAGTGTTTGATGTAAGCAGACGTGAAATTGGATTAACTTTGACAGACGTACGGCAGTTTTTAATTACCACCAAAGAGTTTTTCTTTTTTGGGATTAACAGCGCAAAGTTGGACCAGCTCCCCCAGGTAAATATCATCTGGGAAACTTGGGGAGGCAGCGGATTTCCATTACACTGGAAGTCAAAGATCAGTTGCGGGAGATCCGTTTAATGGGATATGCCAGTCAGTCAAAATCCAGGGGTGAACCGATCTCCAAATGGGGGGGAAAAGTCGGGGGAAAAATACACAAGTCGAGCAAATGGAAATTATTTTTCACAAAGCTGACTGATTGGAACAGAAGCTCATCCGAACTGTGTGTGAACTTCGGTCAATACCTTTAAATATACAAATACTGTTGCTGATAGATTACTAATAATATATTAAAATTTAAAAAGCATTCGCTAATTTAGTTAGGTGCATGTTATTTTATCTTTATTCTTACAATAAACTATAGGTATAAGCAGTATATTCTTTCCTCGAAAGATAAGGTTATAAAAATAATCTTCCAATGTTTGTATCAACTAAAAATAGCTTCAGGAATATTATATCCCCAAATAAGATTGAATAGACTTAAAGCTTTATAAATCTTTGTGGGAACTTGTGCGTTGATCCCATTCAAAATAATACAAATCCCGAGGGTCAAAAACTCAGTGAATATTTAACCCCAACAACAGTTACACATGGTTATTTTTACCGTTTTATTCGTTTAACCAGACACCTTATCTCTATTCGATTTCTGTTCGGCTGGCTTTTTGTTTACTCAACAACAAAAATTGCGGCTGTTAGGTTCTTTTTTTCGACAATTTTCGTTTATTTCATTCGAATCAATATTGCCGTCAAATGAATGGAGAACCACGAACCACGAACGAAATCTTATCTTGCCAAAGGGGGAAAAGTGGGGTCTGGAATGCGTGTGTGTGTCTACATTATTTCATTATTTGTTGTCAAAGTTTTGGCTGCCGAGGCAGCGACTACCAGAAATACTACCATGCAATCGATAGAGCTGGGAAATCAGTAAAAAAAAAAAAAGAAAATAAAGAAGAGGGAGTGAAAAAACCACAGATAGAGAGAGAGCGCAGATTGCAGGTGCTGGTGCTCTACCTGGAAAAAGTTGGAGTTTGTCTCTGGTCTTCGACTTAATCTGTGATCAAGATAAGCCATTGCATGTCGATCGTTTCGTGTTCGAGATCCCAGATCCCCTAGATAGTTTTCCTTTTTCTTTCTTTCTTTGCCAGTTTTTTTTGTGTCTCTGTGTGGAAAATTATGTTCATCTGCGGTCATAAATTATGCGTAACGCGACACCTTCGTCTACAGGTTTCCAATGTGTCGTTAAATATTTTATTTCATTTTTATAGCTCTGCCATTGGGTTTTTTTTTCGCATGAAGTGAAAAGGCGGAGGACTCGGATCGTTGAGACAAGAAATGATTTCATTAAATTTTCAGTTAACAGAAGACGCTGCCAAGGTTAGACCCTCTCGTTAAAGGCAAAAGGTGTTGCCCGGCAGAGCCGGCTAAAAAATATCAATTTACATACAGAGACACAGGGACATCATGTGGTGCTCTCTGTGCCCAATTCCCGATTCTCGGTTTCTCCTCCGGGCCTGGCCCGCACTTTCGCAATTCGAAAAATTGCGCTTTGTCACACAGCAAACGACTTTCGGCCGCCTGCTGGGGCGACACTCAAATGCCAGGCCGTGCTGTTTGCTCTTCTCTGCTGGTTGCAACTGCCGAGTGTTGCCTGTTGCCGGGGCACAGTGGTCACACAGATCTTTCCAGAAAATATCCTAAGCAAATTGGGAATGTTCTGGACTTATTTAGAATAAGTACATCGAGTTGTACTGTCCTTTAAAAGAGACACTGGCAAAGAATTTCATTTAATAACAATTTGTTCGTAACTACTTTAAATGGTCAAACTAATATCCATCAAATAGGTTCAGCTTTCATGAAAAATTGGGAATTCGATGTGAGTTTTGATTATATACGACTGAACTCAGAAGTAATAAAAACAGTATTGAAATTATAAAATATATAAAAAAATATTATAAATACCTTAAAAGACTACAAGATTTATTTGTAGTAGAAATGTATTGTATTTCCATCCCGAATAGTATAGAATAGAATGGGTTGTTTTCAATAAACAATTATTTCCTTGAAATTTTAATAACCCCTTCTTGCTGGACATCCTTGACCACTGTGCCCAATGACCTCCCGCAGCTTTCCGGCATGTCTGGTTCTCGTGTTCCCCGTATCTTCTCGCTGGTTTCCTCTTCTCGCCTCCGCTCTATCTCCCGAACAGGTGATCATTTTACAAACGGTCCTGGGCTACCTGTTCCCGCTGGTCCCGTCGATCCGAGAATCCCAAAAGTCGGCCATAAATTATGTTTTGTTTGGTTTTTGTTGCGCGCTGCTTTTTTGTCTCCTTCATTGGGCTTGGCTATAAATTTCTCGTTGACTCTTTCCACTTGTCAAAGTCTTTTTCATTTTCTTGGTGTTTGACTTGGTATTTTTTTATGAGTTTTTGGGATCTCCTTTAGCTTAATTGTGATTGCGAGAGGATTATCTCGTTTTTTTTTTAGCAATTGGCTGATGCGAAAATTTATTGACACTCAGCCAGTGAGTCAGTCAGTCACTCACTCACTCAATTCAGCGGGGAGATGTCAGTTGACTTGTCACTCGCGACGGGTTTGTCAGTTTTGTATCCTGGTAAGCGTTTTTTGCTGATCAGCCATGATGGAGCTGTCAGCTTAGGCGCTAATGTGCATACTAATGTCGGATGCTTCAGGAGGTTTATGGCAAAAAGAGTGGGAATTGACGGCGAAACTATTTGGGAATGTTCTGCGATTTAAGCAGGTTTTGGCGCAACAAGTGCTTCAGATTTAAAATGAGTTGGATGGGGAGATTTTAGAAATTCCTCACTTTTCCGGTCTTTATATAAATTTTAAAGTTGCTTAGAAGATGTATTTTAAGTTCTGGTTTATTTTTAACTAAGAATATTTAATTTATTATTCTTCTGAGTGAAATGTAAATTTTAAAACATTAAAAAGACACATATTAATATCTTCCATGCTCATGAAATAGTCAAACATGATGTCTAAATGATCAGAAATGAACCTCCTGCAAACATAAATTTGTCACAATATAACACAAGCAAATGCATACAAATTATTATGGTACAAAATCAACAGCAGTGCCACAATGCTGTCATATCATTCTCAATTTATTGAGACCGCAATCATCATCTGCCACATGTGGCTTTCAGTTCCACCTTTTGCCTGTTCCACCTCCGATGGCAATTTGTCCGCGGGGCAGTGGCATTATGTGTTCCCATGATCATTTACCGATCTTGTTATAATTATAAAACCCACAATTGTCTTATTGCGGGTATCCTCTGCCAGAGTCTAATCATGTTGAGGCCCGGGCAACTCCTCCAATGGGCAACCGATAATTTACGAACAACCTGAGCAACGACCCTCGTAATTATAAAGACATATCCATCTCTCTTGCACTGCTGCTCGCTCCCTTTTTTTCTCTCAGTACACACATGGCTTGTTTAAATAACACCAACATATTGATTAATTTTCGAAGCAGGGTTGAAGACGGGACTTGACATGATTCGAAACGGGCCAGAAGCAGGTCTCGAGTCGTCCATCAAACTGGCCAAGTCAACCCAAGCCCCGTGCTGCAATTCATCAAACTGCGGGCCAGAATGTGTTGGCCTTCTTCCTTGCCTTGCTGCACAGAAAGAAAAATCTACTATATTTTTAATATTTTAATTTATAAAATACAAGCACAAACATTTTTAAAACTAATATTATTTACTTTACGTATCAGCTTTGTTTTAAGTGATAATATTAAATCATTCTGTACATCACTATTTTTTCCTTAGTGCTCTCTTTTTTTGTTTTGCCTCGTTTTGTTTGATTTATTTTGCAGCTCCCTCAATTTTCCCCGTTCAGTCATATCATTAGGCTTGAGGCTCTCTCTTTCCCCGGGTTTTTTTTTTTTTTGAAGCCCCTGCCCATTGTGGTTAGCGGAGGAAAACCGAAATCAATTTGACATGATTGCCATGGATCATAATTTTTTTTCTTTCTCTTTTATTTGGTTGGTTTCTTCGGCGCTTTCTTTGGACCCCGGGTTTTTTGGTGTGTGTTTGTTTTGAATATTTTGTTTGCCGGCTATTAGGTTTTGATTATTTACGAGCTGAACCCATGGGGCACACACACTCCACAGAGAACTGCTCATGGCTCGTTGGAATTGGCCCGGCAATTAGCCAACACAAACGCCTCCCAAGCCGAAAAACGATTATTTGTTTTTAAATGAAAAATCACCAAAAATCGCAGAAAAACTCGAAAGACAAAAGCAGATCGGCTTTCGGTTGTCTTAGATCTTGCACTTTTTTTTATTATTATTATTTTAGCATGCCAGAAACTATTTGTCTTTGGCCAATAATCAAGCTGAAATTGCCTTTTAATGGCAGTTTACTTATTTATTTGTTTATCTTTGCATATCTTAAAGGTTTGCCAACTTTGAAGGCAGTTAATACGAAAAAAAATACCTCCAGACTCCAGACCAATTTATCTTTTATAATTTTTCAATAAATTTATTGTCTTTCGTTTTCTTTTTGTTTGCGTTTTTTTGGTCGATTGTTTACGAAAAACATTTATTATGCATAGTTTGGTTAGACAGGCGAGCAAGCTATCAATTTTTCACCTTTCGTATCTGGCAGATACATCAAACAAAAAGTTGAAACTTGTTGCTTGGTTTTCGGTTTCGGTTTTCTGGCGTTGTTTGAATTTCTGGCTGTGCTGCTTGCTAACTGTGTCGCTAAATGTGCTGTGCGGTGTTGTTGGAAGAGATAAATTCCATAAAAATCAACAGCAACACACTCTAAAATCGACGACTACCTAAGCAACAATAACAATGAGAAATGACAAAGGCAAACGACGACGACGACGACGCTATCTGAGGGAGAACTGATGATGATTTATGAGCGTCAGAAATCAAGTAGAAAATTACGGTAATAGAAGAACACAAGGCAGACTGCACACAGATACACACGCACCCCGAAATAAATTCAAACTCATAGATACACCTTCCTACCTAGATTTCCAACTTTACTCGAGAGGTTAGCACCGACAACAGAAAATACAAACAAAATCGACACCGTACATTGGGCAATTTTAACTAGAATTTATTTCGGGTTTGGGCAAACAGAGCCCACATGAAGAACCGATAAAAACATGTTTTCCAACAGCATTTCATGGGGGTACCTAACTATTTTTAATATGCTAATTGCCAATGCAAATATTGAGCATGCGCCTGGTTGAAGCCATTTGCATTTTATACGAACAAAACTAAAAGTGTTGGCAATAAATCCAATTGCCCACTCACACGTGTGGGAGAATTAGAAACAGAAACACATATTTATGGCATTTTTCTTTCGTCGGGCATCAGTTTCGCTTTGAGTCTAATTCATTTAGCAAGACGACACCTTGTTAGAGCCCTGACTTATGACGGAATGTGGGGGGATATTTTCCAGCTGCCTTGTGTGTGGCTTTTAGCTGGAAATGTAGCGACTAGGTGTTAATTTTGTTTGTTATTCGAGCCAGTCGGCAGTCCCCAATCCCAAGGAACTCATAGTTCACAAGCGAACAACGAAAAACACAGTTCTAAAATGAAAATTCCAATTTAAAATGAAAATTAACAAGACATGCGGGCGAGTGTAGGTGTTGGGAAAATAACACAGGCAGGGGAACAGACGCAACAAGTGGAAAATTAAAATGGAAATTATCTTTGTGGATCATTATAAATTGGAGGTTAACAAGGGGTCGACAAAGAAGTTCTGAAATTATTTAAAATTGAAAAAATGAAGGGCTTAAAGATCCGTAAAATGTAATTAAGCCCATTTAAATTTACTTAAATAATTTAAAATGCAGATATTTATCTACAAATATATTTATTTAAAAAACAAGTGTTAAACTTCCATTTAATTGATAAAAATCATACGAAATGCATTCCAATCGAAATGACTCACAAGTTAATTAACACAGACCAAGCGAATTCCTCAGATTGAATACGATTTGCTGGTCTTCTTAGAAAGTTTCCATCAACACATCCTTTTGATCACCCATTCCCCCCAAGAATCAAACGAAAACAAGCCCAGATGAAACTTATTTAATATGCCTTATATAGAAAGCAGTTAATTAAATCGACCCTGTAGGAGGGCGGCCGTTTCTGGAGCTTCCCTTGAAATCAGTTAACAAAAGCCCAAAGATAAACAGAGCCAGTCGAGGAGGATGCAAAGCGAAAGGGGCACTGAAACCACAAAAAAAGAAACGAAGAAAGAAAGGAAAGGAGCGGGCAGACCCAAGTTGAGTTGAGTGTATAAAAATGCCCAAGTTTAAACAGAACTCAGATCGAGATCCCGAGGAAGGAAGGGCGATGGGATGGGCAGGCATCATTAATTCTCACCCAAGTGTTGCACGACGACGAATGGAGCGCTTTCCTACCGCTTCCCCGGCCCGTTGTGCATATTTCCAATTAAAGCGACTTGCAACTCTAATGAACTTGAAGATATCAATCTACGCGCTGTTAACCCTAAAAAACTGCAGACAGACGGCGACGAAGAAGTCCGGCACGAAATAAATGTCAAGCTAATTAAAAGGCAGGGAAAAATCTGAGGCTGCAATCGAGCATGCAATATTACTCATAAATTTACCCCGTCTTCTCTCTAGCAAAAGCAACTTTGTTTAGAGGCAGCAAATTAATTGAAATAGTCCCAAAAATAGAAGCCTGAACTGAAGTTTCTGTTGCATGTATCCAACAGATACGCATCTCTGGGTTGCATCTACATGCACATGTTTTCGCTCTCAGTCCATCCCAAAATGAAAAGGAAGCGCTCGGCTCGCGTTAAAACAAACAAAAACATATTTTTCTTATAAACAGAACTCTGAACAAAATAATTTTATTTTCAGCAGGCAGCATCAGGTTCTCTTGTATCTTTCTTTCACTCCACCTCTCTTGAATTTACACTCAGAGAACTTTAACGTAAGAACTCTCTTTTTAAATGTTCATGATGAAATTAAAAATATATACAAATTTTATTTTTATTCAACTTTTCAATTCATAATTTTGTATTTATTAATGATACCATAAATATTTGCAGTTTAATTTCACATGCATTTGTTATGAATCTGTTATTGAATCCTTAATTTTATGTAATGGCAAAAATAAGTAAGTTGCTTTGGATTTTCTTAGGAAAATCACTTGATACGATAACTTAGATTATATATAAATTCAGGATTCCTTGTGTAATGTATTTTTTCCTCTGTACTTGAGTATCTTTTTGGGCTCTCGCATCGAAACATAATTAATTTCTGTTTGTTTAAGGTCTGCGCCTGCGACTGACTGTTGTTTCCTGCGACGGCGATGACGATGGCGATATTTGCTTTCCTCCAAGCAGAGAGATTCGAGAACTGAGAAGGGGTGCTTCTGCTCCTTGAGATTCATTGGAATTTCAATTTTCAAAAAACGATTCTCCACACAATACATATTCATTGTCGTCGCTCGCCGTCGTGTTGGGCATTTAAATGCTCGCTCATAAATTTGTTTTCTGCTTTTTGCAATGTCATAAATTAAACATTTTCGAAACTGATACGCTTCGCCCCTCCCTGTGACTGCCTCTTTTATTTTTTTATTGATCATCAAGTTGACATTCGACGGGGTGAGGGAATGAGCGAGTCAGTGAGAATATTTTGCCATAAATTATGCGCCTAATTAATTGGCCTACAAATTCCAATTCCTCCACTCAGAATCTTTTCCAGTTAATTAGTCAGAAACAGAAAAGCGAATCAAACGAGTCTTGAGACTCTGAAGATCTTTGAGATTCTCCATGTTGTCTTAGCAGGTTGTTCTTTTATTTGTTTTTGAATTTCCAAGATTTGTTATGGAAATGTATTTGTGTGTCGCAGATTTATAACTTTGGATTCACATTCAAATAGGGCTTTTCTTGGAACTTGATTTGTTCAAGCCTTGAAATTTAACAAGGAATAATTTCTCAGATTTCTTTGGCAAAAGATTTATAAAGGCTTTATAAAGAATTCGCATTAAATGAAGTTTTGGGAAGTGTCAAAAATTGTTTTGTTCATATAAATAAATTATCTACCATAATTCTTTCTGTTCTCTAATTTCCATAAAAACTTGAATAAGTATTATTTGATTAGTAACTTTAGAATTGAAAAACCCAATAGATATAATCTTTAGACAAGTCTATAAATAGAAAACTTTCTTTAAAATTAATAAATGAAAAATGTAAAGGAAATTGTAAGCCCCAATTAATTAAGAAATAACCCAGTTAAGAAGTGTGTAAAACCCCAGCCAACCAAAGAATTCAATTACAGATAAAACACTTCATCTTCTCTCTATATTTCGCAATGATCTCGTGTCCTATCTCAATTAAGCAAGCCAGAAAAACAAAGAACGCAAAAGCCAGAGGCAGACGTTCATAATTAAAAAATTGTCATTTTGTTGTCGTTTGCTTAACTTTATCTGCAATTGGTTACAGCAGAGATTACACCTGGCAAATTGTGAGACGGAGGTGGTAAATCAAAGGCGGCAAAATGTGGGCCCACAAATACTCTGCATTGTTGTTCCTCCGACTTATCTGGGTTTTCTTGGTTCTCGGTTTGGTTAGGCAAATCTTTTCCAGCACTCCCACACGGCAGTTTTCAGCTTCAGCTTCAGATACAGATACAGATACAGAAACAGATATGGATTCAGATACGGGGGCAACCTCTTCTACGGCCTTTTATTTGTCGCTGGCTGATTAAACTTGCATTATATATACACATAAATATATGTACAAAGAGTGCCGTTAAAGCAAACAACAACAAGGCGCGTTCTTTAATAAGAAATAAGAGAAAAAAAAAAAGAAGTCGAGAGGGAGTGAAAAAAGTTAATTAAATTGTAAGCGAGTGAGTGGCTGCTTCTTTCATTGGCACACACGCAACTTCTTCATCATCCGGCGAATGTCTGCCCCCTTAATCCCGTGGCGTGATTAAAGTAGTCCACTTTTGGCTAGGCCCAGGGATAAAACTCCCCGGCCATTTTCCCAAACCCCACCCACTCGCTTTTCCCCCCCAATTTTCCGCTGGCTTTTCCTGTTTGCTTTTTGGGAGCTGCTTCTGCTCCTCTGTTTTTCTTTCATGCTTTCTCTCCTTTTGAAGTGCTGCCGCAGAGACAACTGCAATTGTTCTTTAGCCGCCCACAAATTTATTGTCCAAATATTAACATATTTGCTTGGGCTTACCCAGAACATAACTCAGGACGCAAATTGTGGCAAACTCTTTTCCTCTTCGGACAGACTGTAAATTATGTCGCCAAGTCCCTTTTTTCCACCAGATTTTCGGGCATAAATCCAGTTTTATGCTTATTGCATAATTAAGTTATTTGGCCTTTAATATTTTCTAATTATACAAGATTTATAAACATTTTTTTACGACCCCTTTTACGATTAGCAAGATTTAGCGATGCTCGAAATCTCCGCTCGGGGATTTCGTTTTATGGCAGTTGCTTATTTTAAGTTTTTATAGCTGCACCTAAAATCAGATATCAGATAACTTATCAGCCTTTTCGTACCTCTTTTTGCATCTCATTACAGCTGGGTGGAATTGTATGAAGCAGGAAATCACCCAGAAAGCAGCTAAAACAACGGAATGGAAAAAATGGTAAGTTTAAAGCAAATTTTAAAGTTTAGAAATTTTACAAATATTTTTTTGGCTATTAATATCATAAGAGAAAGTTTTATTCCTGGAGAAAATGAATAGGGATTGGAAGTCTTAATGATTTTTTACCGAGACGCTTTATTTATTTGTAACAATGGTTGCTGCCTATTTTTATATTTTACCAACTAATTTAAATAGTTTTGGATTTCATGTTTACTTGTGACAACTTTTTGTTAAGTCCCTGTTTCGATGCAAAATATTAGCTTGGCTTAGAAATTATGGACTCTCCTTCTCTGTAATTTAGTTTCCTTTACTATTTTGCATACAAGGCACCAGCTAGACGTAAATATAAATAAGAGGCCAGAAAACTTGACCTTTCCCCATCGACACTTTGCCCCTTGGCTACTTCATTGCGCTTAGTTTGCCGCACAATGGAGAGAAAAATGCCAGGGCCCTCTGTGTGACCCGGCCAGTGCAATTGACCAAGGAGCCAAGGAGCAGGAACCTCCTAGTAGTCAGCATCCAGCATCCATCGGCATCATAAACATCGTCTTCGTCTGCGGTTGTCGGTAGTTACTTTTCAACGCCAATTTTGCTCTTCAAAACGAGCCAACTCCAGGTGCACAGAGAAAAATCTGTTTTAGAAATTAACATATTTAGAATATCGTTTAAAAGGGAAATAACTTTTTTTTTACATAAATATCACAAGCTTCCTAAATACAATGTAGTGAAATATTTATTTAGCTCACATACAAGTTTACATTTAGTCTTTCATAGTTTTCCTCTGTGTAGGTCTATACTTTTGGTTTGAGCCTGGTTTTCTGGTTTCGGCTGCCGTGGGCGATGCATCTTCAGACGCGACTTGTTGCCCCATTGTTGGCTTACCCTTTTCAGCGGAGAATATGAGAATATGGTAGGGAGACCGGGAAAGAGAGAACTGAATCTTCTGGCATATCTTTTGCCACTTTAACGTTAACGAGCTGTTGACTTCTTTCTGCTTTTGCCGGCAGTTGAGTTGCCAAGTTCTTCAGCTCGGTTCCTTCGCCTCGTTCTCCGTCTTCCGTCATCATCATCTGGTTCCCTGCTTTGCCTATCCATCATTCTCTCATATTTCCTTTGCCAGCTTTAATGCAAAATATCCTGGCAAGCCTTGCAGTCTAGTTAGCATCTGTTTGTCTCTTTCTGCTGCTCTGCAGCCATCTCTTTCGCCGTCTCAACTTGTCTGGCCAACTGTCGAAGCTTTTTGTTGATATGGTTCCTTTTTTTTTTACTCCAGACACTGTTGTTTTATTTTCGTTTGTTCCGAGGCTCATTTGTTATGCGAGACATTTCGAAATGTTCTCGTAATTAAAACATGAGAATATTTCCATAAATACAAACATTGATTCAGCCAGATGGGCAAACATACTGCAATGACACATCATCATTCTCAATCCGTTCGCTCGATCTTCGTGTGCCTTTTCTGTTTTTTGTTTACACTGCTTTTGCTTAAAATTACAAATAACTAATTTAATATGCCAAACATGCAACGTCTCCCATCTCGGCATGTGGCGCTCGACTGCGCTAGAGAAAGATGGAATTATTCGGTTAATTGAATTATAATTGTAGACGGCAAGCAGGCAGCTATCTTCTCCCCAGATTTTCCCCCATCGACCACTCCCTCGCATTGATCACGTCGATCATGTCGAGCAGTCAATCAATGTTCTAAAGATATTTTCATATTCTCGTTGCCTGTTCGTGGGTAAAATGTGTATATATTCCGTGTAGCCGTAGGCAGAGTTCATTAGAAATGCCAGTGCAGTGAGGGATCTGCTGTGAGATGGGTTTCACTTGGTTAGGAATTGGATATAGAAATGTTTTTGATATTTATTGTTGGGGAATTATGGAAATGCTTATGAGTTGTAAATGCGTTTTGTGATAGTTAAATTATTTGTAATGGAAATACACTAAATTTGGTAATAAGTACATTGGAAGTATTGTAAAAGTCAATAAAAAAACAATATTAGATGTTTTTTAAATAGCATCTACACAGACTAGAGAAAAACATATATACGCTCAAGTACAAATACTCAACTGCCGGCACAAAAAGTATCTAGAAAGCAAGATAATATTCTGTAAGACATGACCAGACAATGAAGCTAACTGAATTTGTTCACGGCAACTTGAACTCTGGTTAAATCGAATCATTTGCCCAAATCAGTTTGCACCTTTCGGTATGCTCGAATTGCCCCTGGTTCGATTCTATTCGATTGAAATCAACTTTTCTGGCACGTCGGCCATGGCGTCAGTGTAAACAACAGTGGATATCCACCTAAGGCGGATCACGCATCGAGAAGAAGCAGACCATGGAGGTACAGTGGAACCACCCGTTGAGTGAAGGGGAGTGGAGGGGCTTGGAGTGGCACACATCATCCGACATCCCTTCGTGCTGTTTCCTGCCCGAAAAACACGCGCTGATTGCTTTGGCTGTTGAAATGCGCTTGAAAAAATAAACCAAGAGCCCAGGGAAAAAGGCATAAATTATTTGATGCAACAAAAAAGAAAAACCCCATCCCAAATCCACCAGCCACCTCCTAAAATTAAGGTGACCATATGTGGCCGGAGGGCACCCGACTGAGAGCAAGTGAAGCAAGAAAAACAGTTCATAAAATCAACAAACAGCAGCAGAAGCTGATGCTGAAGCTGAACAAAGATCCACAACCCGAGAAGTCGATGGCGAATAGGAATCTCGAACAACATTTGAAATGCCATGCAGGGAATTCCTGTGTGTTGCTGTTCGTGTTTCAAATAAACTTCGAAATGCATAAATAGTTTACAACAATAACAGGGAATCAGCAGCAGCAGCGTTTCCCTGAGAAGGAAAGAAAAACAGGAACAAGTGCGTTGATTGCAGCCAGCCGCCTGCACTTTACAGTGGGGGGTGGGCGGAAAATCGTGGAAAGTCAGAGGTGGGGTAGGGGGAGGGGGTAAATTGTGTGGGCCGAGTTATTTTGAAAGCAACTGCCGAGATGCCGAGTGCAGAATGGAGAATGGAGAATTCAGAATGCAGTTGCATCTGCAGCATACCAAGAGTTCATTGGTTTCCACTTCCTCTGTAGCACATCCCCTTAAAAAAATTTCCTTATTCCACTCTGCTCATTTACATTTTTTCTCTTGTTCAGCTCATTTGATTTCCTTTCATTGCGACCAGAGGGAAATCAAAGCTGACCAGAAAGCTAAGTTCGAAAGCAGTAGTAACATTCGAATAGTAATAAACTAGCCAAGAAAAAATAATACAAATATGTACCTAGCACCCTTTAAATAATTGAATTCTATACTAAAATTTTTGACAATACCATTTAGTTAATTTTGAAATACTGTATTTTAAGTAAATACATCCCCTCTTTTTCTTTACCTTTAAAATTAAAGTCCATTCCCAGAACAAAACCCAACTAAATAAGTTTTTATTTCTAGATTTCAAATCAGTTTTTCAGTTTTATATCCTCACAAAATCTTTTTCCATCAGCGTTTAAAATAAAAAATAAAAAGAGAAACAAATTCCCCCAACCAACTTTAACCACTTTGCAACTTCAATTTCTTGTTACAAGTGCAACATTTTATTAACCCTCCGGTTGTTGTCCCTACAACCCCCCACCATCACCCCACCATGGGTTCGAACAATTTCCCTACATATTTGGCGCTTTGGCATCGTAAATATTTTTATTGCATAGCCATAAAAAATAATAACACAAACAGAACGAAGGAAAAAGTGCAATAGACTATCAACAGTTTCACGCCTTCCTCGGCCTTTTGCATACTGGCATATACAAGGGAATATCGGTTGATATTTTCCGTCCGTTTTGTGTCTTTGTTTATGCCACACATGTTACGCCTACGAAAAAGTCGTATAAAACATCGGGGGAAGTAGGAAAACACACATAGGCGCTGTCGCATGTCCCGCAGGCCCATTGTCTGCCTTTGAGTCGGGCTGGAGTTGAGTTTAGTTGAGTTGAGTTGACTGTTGGCTGTTGTTCCTACATTTGCCAGCCATATGTGGCATGAAAATGCTAATGGGGAAACTTTGCTTCTACCTAGAAGCTGCACAGGAAAAAATAAACAAAATAAACCCCTCTCTCTCTCTTGAACAAAAAATACAATCTTAAAGACATTTAAATACAGAAGGTTGATCTGAAATAGTTTGATTCTTAAAGTGGAATTTAATAATAATACTCTTGTGACAAATTGTGCTATCATATATTTTCTTCAGTGCAGCAGTTTGATACCCAGGTTGTTTGTCTGTCAATCAGAAATACAAATTATGCATAGAAAAGTTGCTTGAAATTTATTTTCAATAGCTAGCATGTTCTGTATGCATGGAAATCAACAGAAAGTTGCATGATAATTTCAATATATAATATTAAAATGCGCCTATCGGAGAAAACTTGACCTCACTGGCTCTTGAAATATTCCTACATTTTTGAAACTGTCAGACCATCGCGGTTGATATGTGGAGTACAAAGTTCATCTGTCAGCTAGGAATCGTAGCTCGGATCCGTATCAAGAGTCATGTGCTGTCCACTTTCGAACTTTTTGGGGTAGCGCGGCATTTTCCCTTTGAAATGCCACAAAGTGCCAGCAACAAAAAACCGCTGATAAGCCCGCGATTTATTTATGATTTTGTTCGATTTGGGGCCTGATGCTTTCATAAATTTAAATTCTACAGTGGCCCTGGCGTTTCAATTAAGCAATTGTTGTAAATTGTTTTTCGATTTTTTCCGCTCGCTCTGTGTGTATTTTCCTCAACCGATATTGATGTTGATATTGATATTGAGTGATATATGACTGACCAAGCCTGTGACTCGATAAGATTTCTTTGGTTCTGGCCAAAAGAAATTAGTCAAAGTTGGAAGCGCTTGCATGCAAATTATTGTTATGGGCAATTTGGCCATTAGCCACAGCGCCATAAATTATAAACAAGACGCAGAGAGCAGAGATGCGAGATGCCTCATTGAAATTCCCCTAGC